AAAAGATCAGTTGTTGTTTTTGTTTCATTGTCGCGCTTCTTCTCGCCATTAATGCGGTTGACAACTTCTCCATTCTTCTCTATTTTTTAGGCCCCTTCTCATCCACATAATTCCTTATTTCACACATAATTCGTACATAAATCATATTTCGCACATCACACATAGGGCACATAATTCGCACTGAAAGATGGTCTTCCCTGTGTTCTTTTGACATTGCATAGGTACTATTCAAAAAAAAAAAAAAGAAATGACTCAGATAATTTACAAAAATTTTTTAAACTTCGGCTGCTAAATAGCTTTTAAATTGACTGTTGAAAAACCCCTCTTTCGAATAAAAGATGAAAACTCTAAAAAGACCCGTTTCCAGGAAAAGGAAAATTTGCTTCTCTTTGGCGGTGATTATTCTTACTGATGCAACAATAATGTGACTAGCTGAACAAAAGCTTTTTTTTCGTATTTCCCTTTTTTGGTTTTTTTTCCTGGTGAGCTTTCAGACTGTGTTTGATCTGTTATAGTGCAAAATTTTTTAATCCCATGTGTCTGCCTTTTTATTTTTTTTTTTAGAAGGCTCTGGCACAGCTGCGCTCAGCATTCAGCAGTGTCATAGTAACATCACTAGCATAGGATCCGCATACCGATTGCTCGGGCGGTTTTGACTTTTTATTCATAAAAACTCCCGCATTTCATTGTGCGTCCCATTCATCTTTCTCGCATTAATCATTTTGATGAATTAATGTTTCTTTATCAGTGCCACATCGTTTAACGGCCGTCCGGCCCGACTGCGCCGCCATAATCGATCGGAAATTTGAAATTTTAAAACTTGGAATCGTACAGTTTGAAAAAATCGTGTTTTGATTATATTTAAATTAAAATTTAATAATTGGATTTGATATTTAAATTTTTATTAAGTTGAACTAACCAAAATAATTTAAATTAAATTTAAACTAACTAGAGATATGTGGCTCAGGAGCGAAGGGTCTGGCGCAGTTGCGCCCGGCATTTGCAATTATCTCAGTAATACAATTAAGATGAAATTCCTGTTCCGATTGTCTGGCAGTCTTGGTAGTCTTAATAAAATCTTCGGAGCTTCAGAAATATTTTGTTACGTAATCGCTTGAACTTTTCATAGTGGCAGGGTAATGAATAAAAGTGAAGGTAAGGGGACAATCATGCCTCCTGTGATAATAACTTTCTTCATTCTTTTATTGATGAATGCTTATGATTTATGATTTTTCCTATTCACAAAAAATTATAACAATGTATGTTACAGTGGCAATAATTATAATAATGATATTAGTAGCAATAATGATAGCACTAATGATAACAAC